ATAACAACTACTTTGCAGTTCACTTTTTGTGGACTTGCTCTTTTGTGGGTTTTTGCCTCCAAGTTTATGAATGGTTGCTGTTGCCCAGAGTGGCATTCTAATCCCGCCTCCTGGCAACAATGGAGTATGGAAGGGGGTTTACCCTCCCCCTTGGGAGAGAGGCAGCCAGTCAAGAGAGATTGCAAAACAAAGCAGAAATAGCTGGCAAAAAAATGTGTGCAGTGCCTTTAAATCTCTCCTCGCTTCTGCCTCACCCGGAATGTGAGATGATATATATATATATATATATATATATATATATATATATATATATATATATAATCCCTACTTCACTTTTCACGGGTGGTCCTGGAATGTAACACCTGTGATAAGTGAGGGAACACTGTACTAGGCTAGGATTAGGGCTTGTGATAGAATAAGAACTTTAAACTAGATGTGAAACAAAATATTTCTCATTTTATAAATTAACCTGTTTCTTTCTTTGTCAGAGAAGTAATGAAAAATGCCTGCACTACAACAGTTAAGTTTTATGGTCAGTGTGGTTTTTTAGACTTGTGCAACTGAAGGTAAAATATGACTCAGAAAACCAAACGCTTGAAAAAGAAGAACCTTTTTAAAAGGTTCTGAGTATTTTTTTTAAGTCAGTATCAACGAGCCATTGTTCGGTTCAAAACAAAACCATCTCCAATATATTATAATTCAAGTCACTGGCATGATAGTTGACTCTTAAAGTGATGAAGAACCGGGATCATTTACAAGTTAAGATGTCCAAGAGCAACCCCAGGTCTCCTGAAGATTTCTTTCAACATCACCCTATGCATGTCAATTAACGAACACTGTAAACAATTTCTCTGCTGTTGTTTTAGACAGAGGGCATTAAAATATGCAGCTGAAATTATTCTGCTATTATACAGTAGCATTACGCAGTGAAAAATCAATTTTTCACAAAGAATACCAAAATGAAAACATAAAAGGTATAGAGGACAAAACAGGGAACATTAAAGGAGCAAGACATGTTCAGTTTGGTGAAGAGAAGACCAAGGAGTGACCTGATCACACTCTTTAGACACCTCAAGAGATGCTGCAGAGAGGAGGGCCAGATAAAAAGATTTGGATTTACAGGGGGATAGATTTTAATTGAAGTTTAGAAATAAATATTTGATAACGAGGGTGAATCTGTATCATAAAATGAATACAGTTTGCTGCCACTTTAACTGTCATGACACAAAGCTTTCTCTGCCAAAGAGTACTGGTGCCTCACTAATCTCCAAGTTCCATGATTTCACAGCATTGAGTAATGGCAATTAAAGGAACATCAAACTGCTCATAAAACTACTGTGACGCTTCTAAGTAAGAAATGCAACCAATAGCCAACCCATGGTGTACCCAGAATCTGATCATCAAGCTTCACTAATACCTCAAAACCACAACTAAAATCAGTCATGCAAATTCAAGAGTTTTCTCTTAAAAGAATAAGATAGAATAACCATCTCTAGGCCATGAGGGTTCACACCAAGTCGCTGCAAAATAATTTTTAGAGAAGAATAAATTGAAAGGCTAAACTGCCTCTGTTTGATTCCCCCCCCCCCCCGCTTACAGTAATAATGGGAGTATTCTTTGCAAGCACAGGTTGAGCATCCCTTATCCAAAATGTTTAGGAGCAAGTGTTCCATATTTCAGATTTCTTCTTCTGATTTTGAAATACAGTACAGGTACTGATTTTGAAATATAGTACTGGTTCTCTTGGATATCTCAGCGGCTTTCAATACCATTGACCATGGTATCCTTCTGGGTCGGCTCTCTGGAATAGGACTTGGGGGCACGGTTTTACTGTGGCTTCAGTCCTTTCTGGAGGGTTGCTCCCAGATGGTAAAGCCGGGTGGCATCTGCTTGGACCCCTGGCTATTGACCTGTGGGGTTCCGCAGGGTTCCATTCTGTCCCCCATTCTTTTCAACATCTATATGAAATGCTGGGAGAGGTCAATAGGAGTTTTGGAGTTGGGTGCCATCTCTACACGGATGACACCCAACTCCACTACTCTTTTCCACCGGAATCCAAGGAAGCCCCTCGGATACTGGACCAGTGCCTGGCTGCTGTGTCGACCTGTATGCGGGCAAACAAGCTGAAGATCAATCCCAAAAAGACAGAGGTCCTCGTACACCTGACCGGGGTATTGGGTGACAACCTGTGCTGGACGGGGTCGCACTTTCCCTGAAGGCACAGGTCTGCAGCTTGGGGGTCCTCCTGGACTCAGCGCTGACGCTTGATACACAGGTGTCGGCAGTGGCCGGGAGGGCCTTTGCACAATTAAAACTCGTGCGCCAGCTGTGACCATACCTCGCAAAGCCTGACTTGACCATGGTGGTCCATGCCTTAGTTACCTCTAGACTGGACTATTTTAATGCACTCTACGTGGGGCTGCCCTTGAAGATGGCCCAGAAACTTCCATTGGTCCAGCGCTTGGCAGCCAGACTTCTAACTGGGGTGAATTACAGAGATCGGTCAACCCTCCTGTTTAAGGAGCTCCATTGGCTGCCATTCATCTTCTGGTCCCAATTCAAGGTGCAGGTTATTAACTACAAAGCCCTGAACGGTTTGGGACCCACCTACTTTTGTGACCTTATCTCCTACCACAAAACTCCATGATCTCTTCGATCCGCTGAAGAGGCCCTTCTCTCATCCCTTCCATCACAGACTCTTATGGGAACAAGGGAGAAGGCCTTTTCCGCTGTGGTCCCCGCTTTTGGAATTCGCTGCCTAGTGAGATCAGGCAAGCCCCCACCCTAGCTGATTTTAAGAAAGACCCAAAAACCTGGCTCTTCTGTTGTGCTTTTGGACAATGACCACTCAATCCATTTGGTTGTCTTAGCCTACAGCTGCCCTCAGAATAAAGCATCTTCCCACCCCTAAAATGGCTAAATCCAATGGTTCCTCCCTGTTGGGCACCTCTCCTACAAATGCACTTTTATCCCTATCTCACCCAGGTTTTTAACTTTTTAACATTTTACCTCATACATTTGGCCCACTCTCTGTGTCTGGTTTTACTATGCTGTTTTGTATTGTTGATTTTGTTATTTCATATTTTGTTATGATGTATTTTGTTATTGTGTATTTATTATGTTGTATTAATTTGGGCTTGGCCTCATGTTAGCCACCCCGAGTCCCCTTTGGGGAGGTGGTGGTGGGTTATAAATAAAGTGTGTGTGTGTGTGTATACACACACATACACTTTTATATAAAGTGGTTTAGGGCAGCAGCAAGGTGGCAGTTAGTCCCAGCAAGGCAGTGGTAAGCTCCAGCTGCCAAGCATGCATTCTTTGGGCTGTCCCACTTCTAGGGAGAGAGGAAAATGGAACAGCCAAGTTCACAGCCAAACTTTGCACAAGTCAATATCATTTCTATCCATGCCTTCTGCAGGCAGGAACCTAGTAAGAACAAAGAATTCCAACAACAACAGTAGCAGTAGGCCTGCCAACTACCAACTCCACCTTCAAAGTGGCAGCTATAGCATTCCCATGGCATTCAGATGGAGTTGCAAGGATCTGTGAAATGCTAAGCATTCAACATGGATTTCCACCATTTCATAATTTCCCATTTCTCTCTTCAGCTGTGTCTCCTCACAAATACACTTTGTGAGGAGACTTGTAGGAACACTTGTACCATAACGCCAAACGTTTCAGATTTTGGAGCATTTTTGAATTCTGAATAAATGATACTCAACCTTACTAGTACTTCTTATAACATCCAAAATATAGATTGTCCAACCATGAAACTCATGTTCTCTGCCCCCTAATGCTCTTGTTTGGTGAAAAAACCCATGAAGTTTCAAAAACGAGCTTAACACATTTTCCATCTTATACTGTCCAATAAAAATATTGCCACAGAATGTGTTTTATTTTTTTTAAATGAAGAGAAAACATTTTGGTACCATTAACTTTGAAATATTACTGATCTTACGGAACTTCTCTGAACTGGATTGTCCTCCTTTACAAATTTCAGAAAGCAAACCTTGAATTTGCAATGTACTGACTGCTACGCTGACTATTGGTTTATCCTGCTATAGGTTGCCACCATTTCACCAGTCCTCAGGCTCTCTCTTTGAATTGTTCTCCATTTTAAAGGCCATTTTATGATGCAATTGTATAAATAATAATAATAATAATAATAATAATAATAATAATAATAATAATAATAATAATTTCTTACCTGCCTCTCCTTATGACTCAAAGCAGGTTACAAAACAATTAAAATACTACAAATAGCAAAAACACTACAAATACACACACTAAAATGTACCTCCATAAAAGTTACACACCAAAATGTATCTCTGCAAAATACATACTAAAACACACTAAGGACACTTAAAATTCATGTTTAAAGACTGTCTGGGTAGGCCTGTTGGAAGAGATAGGTCTTTACATGGCTTTTAAATACCGACAGCTCATTTAGCTGTCGGAGTTCTTCCGGCACATTGTTTCACAATTGTCAGGTGGCCGATGAAAAGGTCATATGGAGGGTAGTTGCCAGTCGAGTTCTGGCTGGTTGTAGAAGATGCCCCCCAGAAGACCGAAGTGTGTGGAGCAGACTGTATGGGAGAAAGCGATCCTTTACGTAACCTGGACCCAAACCATGTAGAGCTTTAAAGGTCAAACAACATCTTGTACTTTGCCTGGAAACTAATTGGAAGCCAGTGGAGTGACTATAGGATACGTATGTTATGCTCATTTCTAGAGGTTACTGTAACCAATCTGGCTGCTGTATTTTGAACCTGCTGGGGTTTCTGAACTTCGTACAAAGGTAGCCCAATGTAAAGCGCACTACAGAAGTCCAACTTTGAGGTTACCAATGTGTGCACTAGCATCTTCAGGTTCTCCAAATCTAAGAAGGGGACATGAGCACTCACTGATTTTGGAAGCCATGGGGGTCTCTGGAGCCAAACCTCAGCCAATACCAACGATCCATTGTATATAAAGGATGTGTATTTATTTAAGGCACCTACCTTATTTCTAGCACCAAGGAGGAATTGATTTTCCATCTCTCCACAGAATGCTGGAACACTGAAGAGCCACTCTTTTGGTTTATTTTGTCAGAATTATTGACCATTGATCTACTCAAACTTGAATCACCATCTCTGAAACACAATACAAAAAAAAATAACCCAGTAGATGTTAATATTGCGACTGTGTTGTACAAAACTACTTTTATAGTGCATCACAACCAACAGTAGGGTTTATTTATTTATATACATGGCTGATTCAATAATCAAATATGAATTAAGGGTTGAAGTGTTGGACTAAGACTCTGGGAGACTAGGAAGCAAATCCCCACTCAAACAGGAAGACCTAAGGGGTGGTCTCAGGCAAGTCACACTCTCAACTCTAAATAATAATAAACCTCCTTGGAATATATCTTGGCAATAAAATTTCCTGACAAGGTCACTATAAGTGAGAGATGACCTGAAGACACATAAAAATAACAAGAAATGGATGGCTATAGGGGTTTGAAGGAGCCCTGGGTTAATGTTCTCTTGTACTCTCCCTTCTATTCCAAAGGTAGCCAGTTTCTTCTCAATTTCTGAAGACATTAAGTGGAATTAAAATGGCAATGTATGGGCTCGGTTTCCTGGCATAGGGAATTCAAGACAAGTATAAGCACTGGCAGACTTTGCTAAGGCTCTTAGCAACATGATACCAGACCTACTTATACCAATACAGTTATGAATATAATCAGTTATTAAACCAAGAGGGATTCCCCCTCTTCCTTCTTTCTCTTTCAGGTTTTTTTAAAGAAGCTACTAGTGTGCATGAATTCAAAGTTCACCAAGCTCATTTCATGCAGAACTCTTTAGGAAAAAAAGGTCTATGCCCTTATTGTGAAAAGTTGGTTGTGAATAGATAGAACAGAATCTTTTTTTTATTGCAACAATAAACCTTTGCTTATGAGTAGAAGTCAGGTTCACCAACAAGGAGATCCAAAACATACATCATACCTTCAACATTATGGCAGGAATCTCATATTAAAGTATCTTGGGAATACGCCTCACTGAATTCAGTGGCATTTGTTTCTCAACAGACACATGCAGGGTTCCATTATAAACTGACTTTCTATTAATTGATACATAAGGTAAAAAATTCCAAATACTTCAATTACAGCATTTCCTGTCTTCTAGTAGTATGGAGTCATTCTGCATTGCTGCACACATGTACATATGCACTCGTAAACATACACATATGCTGTGCAAATGGAAATATGTGCTATATTTCAAAACAGGTGGTATGTGTTCCCCTCCAAATCTGTTTGTGTTACTAAAAGCAGAAAATGACAATAAATTGCAGTCACTTTGAGGATTTTTTTTAGTGCACCAATTGTCTGTGTACTCTCACACACAAAGATTTACCTTAAATCCCTGAAATTTAAACTTAGATTGACTGTAAGCAGACACTTACAGAGACCAGGAAGCTAATAAATCAAATCCTGTTAGCTTGCTCCAATGCATCTCTGAATGAAACAACCTTACATTGTAATTCAGGTGGTGCTAGAACATCCTCTTTGATAAAAAAAAGTTTTCATACAAATTAAAAATAAATAACAAGCAGAGGATAGCAAGAAGACATGTCATAAGAAGAGAAAATTGCAGAAGAGGTAGGTCAGGACACTGAATCAATGCATTAAGCTGTCCTGAGACTGCTTAGCTGAAAGAAATCATGTTCTAGCCCTCTTTGTTAGCAGTGAGGACACCAACGGAAAGGTACACCTCAGCTTCCTCCTACTTATCTTAGGAAGCAAAAGACCAGTATGTCAGTTATCCACTGGCAAGAGAAAGAAGACCATTAGACCAGTTCTGCAGATGGATGGTCTTTACAAAAACTCTTCTCTCAACTGTCACCACTATCAACCATTTCAGTGGGCTGAAGTAAGAAGACATTATGCAAGAAGATAGGCCATTCCTCTTGCAGAGAGTACTGCACTTGGGGCAGTTCTACACAGAGAAATAATGCAGGTCAGAATTGGCATGCAAAACATTTTTAATGCTTTGTGGAGGAAGGACATCACCATATGTTGCAAAGCAACACTGGTCCACTGACCAGTCAAATAGCAGTCCCATAAACAATGCTTTGTCCTTCTCCAAAGGTCAACTCTATTTGCCAGTAGCCTCAGGACTCTAGGAGCAAGGGATAAGAATCATGGGCTCCACCAAAAGAACAAGGAACCATTTATTCAAATAAAAATATTAGCAAAGGAAGAACCTCCCCCACCTCCCCTGGCCAATTTAAAAGCTCTCTTAATTTTGTCTCCTGTCTATTTAGGCTGCTTCTACACAGAGGGTCCTTCTACATAGAATTTTAATGCCTATGTAGAAGAGCCATCAATCTCCCTCCTTGGCCTTTTCCAATCATTTCACTTCCCTTGTCTCTTGCTTTTTTCAGTTTGCAAGGATGGTGGCAGGACCTCTCTCTCTCTTTAATTAAATTTAACAGCTTTATTCAACAGCCTTTGTCTGGAAAATAGGATTAAAATAATAAGTTGAGAGCAAAGTAAAAAAGCTTCATGAGGCTACATTTTTAATAAACATTGTATCTTATCATATCCTCTGATTCTAATGCATACCACAGCTCTACTTAATAGAGCAGCACAAAGGTTTGATAACGAATTGTATCTTTTGACTCCTCCAGAAAGTATCCTCACCTGATCACTGCTAGATATCACAAGTGATTAAGGAGAAAAATAGAAAATGTCCCACTGGATTCAATCAAAAGGCTGTCTTGTCCATTATCCTGTTTTTTACTGTGACCACACAAAAGCTCATAAGCCAGATATAGGACAATAACTCTTGCTACTTGTCATTCTCTCCAACTAGAGAGGTAAGATACCTCAGATTCTGGAGTACGATATATTCACCATGACTACAAGTCACTGATAGAACTATCATTCAAAGATTTGTCTAATCCTCTTCTAAAGGTTAGGTTGATCTGGTGATTTTGCTTCATTTCAGATTATGAATATGCCCTAGAACATCATCTCCTCACTATTTGATTCAATTTTTCATATTCCATTCCTGAGACAGTCAGTGCAGGTTTAATTGTCCTACATTATTCTAGAGTGAAGGCAGATGCAAGAAATTCATCTCATTTTTCATCAATTCCTGTATCAAAGACAGATTAATACCCCAGGATTCAAATCAAAATGAAAACATGAACTTGTTCTCTATGTTGAATAGTGGTTTGGAATTAGTGTTTTTCAAGTAAGATACAGGTATGGCTACAGCCCATATTCACTTATTTTATGAGACAGTGTGCATAGATATCAATCTCTCTCTCTGAAGCAGCAGCGCAACATGGCTGTATTTTGAGAACATGCTACTGCGAAATCACTGAGTTGAGTCATCTGGATTTTAGGGCCAGTCTCTCCATTAGATATAGTGAGGCTGAAGATGCTAGATAGGTACAGGAATCAAATAGTCCTATGTGCTGTGATCTGACCTGTGCCATTCAAGCTAAACTCAAGTGTGATGATCAGTTTCTGTAAGTGGATTTGGGGGGAAGGAACCATCACTTTAAAAAGCAAGATCTGTTGAGCAGCCACTTTGGCTTAGTCCTTAGCATTCTAGGAACACCTTGTTCTTTCATCTATCTATCTATCTAAATCTCAAAGAGTTGGAAAAGCCCATACGACTCATCCAGTCTTACACCCTGCCATGCTGGAAAATGAGGTACTGTATAGTATTAGGCAACATGGATCTCTATGCTTTCTAACTGAAGCAGTTCATAGACTCATAGATTGGAAGAGATCACATGGGCCATCTGGTCCAACCCTGGCCATGCAGGAAAGGCACAAAGTACCCCAACAGATTGCCACCCAGCCTCTAGTTCATAATTCTATGTTTAAAACTGCATTTGATCAAATACAGTTAAACCACATCTCAAAGGATTTTGCATGCCTGTATTGGACAACAGCACATATATATATTGAGATTGGAAATATATTTACCATCCATCATGCAATCAGTAGATATGTAGATCATACCATTTCATGTCTGCAATTTATAGAGGTCAACTTCAAGCTGATTTTGTTGGACACATTGTCATCTTATATTAACAGGTATGCCTAGCTTATGTGTATCCTAAGATTTCTATAGCTTTCCCCCTTCAATCTTCTTTTTGTGTCTACAATACGAACTCAATGGAATTTTTCAAAATCTGAAAAATCTCCCACCTCTTATCCACATATGTGCATTTCCCTTTGCTCATCAAGTCCAGTCACTTCTAGGATCAAGGGATGCTGCCCTCTCTCCCAGTTCTGGCATGAGTAACTGCACACCTTCATATTAGTTCTGGACTATAACTCCCATCATTCTTTACCAGCAGTTATGCTTGATGTGAAGATGTGAGCTAAAATATCTGGATATTTGCAGTTGCTTATCTAGTTGCTTACCCCTATCCAGTCGATTATTGTTTACTTTAACAAGAACAGGTTTCAAGAACATCGCTCAGGGATTGTCCTCATCATGTACAACCTGATCCCTTTTAAGTGGACTGAACTTGCAACTTTCCATATCCAAAATAATGAGCTCAGCCACAAAATATAAATCAGCATACTTAGCATCAACAAAGGGATTGCAAGGCTCTAAGAATAAATGAAATCCCATTGCTCTATGCAGAAATCTCATCCAACATATTGGTATGTGAAAAGACTTTCAATTTGCTTCAAAGCATCTTGTCACCCTGGAAAATGGCTATGTGAAAAATTCATAGGATCAACAATCCTACATAAGTAGTTGCTGGATTTGCACCATATCCAATATACAGTATTGATTTGCAGTGAAGGGTGCCATCTATTGAAATAAACAGAACAAGCTTGACTTCATACATAAACATCTTTGTGGGGTAGGAGAAAAATCAAATTAAGAGCTACAAGTTCTCTTACATGAAAAATCAGGCAATCTTTACTGCATATTACTTATATAAATCCAGGAGGAAAGATCAACACCAGTATTCATTGCACAAGGTTTTCCGCCTTCTAATTCAATGCACAAATAATTGTTCTCACATAACAAAACAAAGATCATAAAACCAGCCATTGCTGCTTCCCCTATCCTCAAATTTCTTTGCTACATCACAGTCAAGACTTCAA